GGGGGGCGCCATTCTTCAGCGATGGCCGTCCCCTTCAGCCGACAGTCCGACTGCCCTTCCTCACCACCTTCAGTCTTCTCCGTCTTCCGTTTCCAGGCAAAGTGAACATGACCCAGGAATTCATGCGCTTCAAATGGGGTAGGTACCTTCTGAGGACGCAAAGAGCATTCCGGAACCATCCGGCCCCCTCCAATTCCATTCCCCTGTCTCTTCCTCCAGGTATCGGGCGTCTCCTGGCCGAATGCCGTCTGCACCCCATTATCCTGCCACTCTGGCATGTAGGTGAGACCCGAATCGGGGGAAGAGGAACAAAATCGGGGAAGGGGCAGCCGGCAGAGAAAGAAGCCGCCGAAGTAAAGCGGGATTGTTGGATGCGCAAAAGGGGCGGGGCGTTGGCTCCTTCGATACTCGCACGGGAGGCTCACGCTTCGGCAAAGGCCTTTCGCCTTTCAGAGCACTGCAGTAGGGCCACCAGCGGAGACTGACGCTGGAGGGTAGATAAGGGAGGTTGACGGCATTTGATAAAGAAACTTCCCACCAGTGTTCCCTCTAAGCTGAGTTAGTGTGAGCTAGCTCACAGTTTTTTAGCCCCTGGCTCACACATTTTTGTCTTCGCTCAGGAAGGAGGGCTCCCGAGCAAACTAATTTATGCAGCAGTCCAATCGCGTGCTCAGAACTTTAATGCCAGCAGCTCACAAAGTAGAATTTTTGCTCACAGGACTCCACAGCTTAGAGGCAGCCTTGCTTCTCACTGGTTTGTTTGCCTGGAGTGGAATCTTAGAATCGTGGAGTTGGAAGGGACCTCCGGGGTCGTCTAGTCTGACCCCCTGCACAATGCAGGAAATTCACAGATACCCCCCTCCCCACCAATGCTCCCTCTATACTGTGGAGACTTGTGAGCAAAAATTCTACTTTGTGAGCTACTGGCATTAAAGTGAGCGAGCGATTTGGCTACTGCATAAATTTGTTTGCTCTAGGGCCATCCTTCCTGAGCTAAGATAAAAATGTGTGAACCAAAGTCTAAAAAACTGTGAGCTGGCTCACACTAACTCAGCTTAGAGGGAACACTGCCCCCCACCAACGCTCCCTCTAAGCTGTGGGGTTTTGTGAGCAAAAATTGTGCTTTGCGAGCTACTGGCATTAAAGCTGTGAGCGAGCCATTTGGCTACTGCACCAATTAGTTTGCTCTGGAGCCATCCTTCCCGAGCGAAGACGAAAATGTGTGAGCTGGAGGCTAAGAATTCCCTCTAAGCTGTGGGGTTTTGTGAGCAAAAATTGTGCTTTGCGAGCTACTGGCATTAAAGCTGTGAGCGAGCCATTTGGCTACTGCACCAATTAGTTTGCTCTGGAGCCATCCTTCCCGAGCGAAGACGAAAATGTGTGAGCTGGAGGCTAAGAAGCTGTGAGCAAGCTCGCACTAACTCAGCTTAGAGGGAACACTGTCCCCCACACACTCCTAGTGACCCCTGCTGTATGCCTAGAAGAAGCAATGTGGTGTAGCAGTCAGTGTTCCCTCTAAGATGAGTTAGTGTGAGGTAGCTCACAGTTCTTTAGCCTCCGGCTCACACGTTTTTGTCTTAGCTCAGGAAGGAGGGCTCCAGAGCAAAATAATTTATGCAGTAGCCAAATCGCTCACTCACAACCTTAATGCCGGTAGCTCACAAAGTAGAATTTTTTCTCACAAGACTCGGACAGCTTAGAGGGTGCATTGGTAGCAATTAAGAGTGTTGGTCTGATATAGCGGTCCCCAACAGCGGACACCTTTTCTGGCCCCCGTCAAGTCTTCTTAGAAAGTAGGTGGGGCTTTGGGCCCAGCCAGGCTTCTGATGGGCCCCTGGAGATTTGATTGGCCGTGCAGATTTTTAAAGACGTTGCTTTGGCAGCACAAGGATCTTCGCCATGTGATTGAAGGTTAGCTGAGGCAGCCATTTCTGTGGCCGTAGCCACCGTGCTGTGCCACAATTCCAAAGGTGCCTTCCGGCCTCCTATCTTTGCCTTTTTACTGACAAAACCAGGCTTGGTTGCCTAGCAACAGCCACTGAGGGGAAAGTTATCCCCACAGCAGGGAGATAAGAAAGCGGTTTGAGGACCGGTAGCTCACCTC